CTTGCAGGACTGGCTGCCTGGGAGGTAGATGAAAGTGGGAAGGAAATGGAGAAGGTTCAGAAAGGACAAAAAGGAAACAGGAAGAAACTAAGTGACAACTGTTAGAGGAAGGCCAAGAAGCAGTGAAAAGGATGAAGTGATATGAAATCTACATGTAAAGACAAGTCTTTCTCTGACAGATTAGAGAATCAGTATTTTAAATGCAACTTACTCCTTTATTTTTTTAAACTGTAGTACCTACGTCCCCAGTGCCTATCTCTGTAGTTCAACTCCACCTCGCCCTTTCCAAGTATATGATTCTTAAGAGTCTTAAAAACTTTTGCTAGATTAATGAGTCAAGAAGTCATTTTGACCTACCTTTTTTTTTAATCGAAGATGGACACAATACCTTTATTTCATTATTTTTATGTGATGTTGAGGATCAAACCCAATGCCTCACATGTGCTAGGCAAGCACTCTACCACTGATCCACAACCCCAGCCCTTGACCTATGTTCTTATAATGTATTTTAAATGAAACGCATCACACTCGTCCATCCCCACAAACAAGAAAATAGAGAATACTGATTTATATATTTTAAAAGGTACTATATATCATACTATTTTGAATGAAAAATGTGCTTTATCCATTTGAAGTATAGTCATTCAACAAATTCATGTTATATCAAAACTTTTCAAGAGTATATTACTTTGGTGAAATAAGCCTATATTAAGATGATTGTTGCTTGGGGAAGTCTTTACCCTTTTTTTTTTGTTTGTTTTTTCAGTAGCTGCCTTATTATGTGTCTTTCAAGTTGAAAATGTGCTAAATATTTTTTTCCCCTCCTATACACCATGGACTTTTCTGGGTGTAGGTTTAAGATACATGGCAGAGGATAGCAGTCAGACTTCTGGGAAACAAGTGATGTGTATTTGTTTAACCCCCAAGTTGTTTTTTTTGTTTGTTTGTTTGTTTGTTTTGTTTTTTTAATTTCTCTCTTTTTACTTTCACTCTAATAAGATCCTTAGTGAGACTCTCATCAACAATCCGTAAGTTTCCTTTGTTCAAGT